TGTGTGTGATGTTTAAACATTTTTAAAACTTAGAAATATGAATCTTGCCGAGGACAAAAGGCTCGAATTAATGTACCCAGTTTTGTTACAGGATATAAACTGAAATAGTATTGAAACCATCAATTGTGCTCTGGAGAATATGCTCCCTTTTTCAAAAAATGATTTTGCACCCTTCAAAAACATCCAGAAAATACTCATATACTAACAATCAAATTTATTTTCAAATTTCATGTTTGGTGAAAACAACAACTTATTTGCAGGCAATGGAAACAAAAAATTCAAACACTTTTTCAAAAGATTATTTGCTATTCTAGTTCCCTACTTTTGTTTTTCCGCCCATACCGCAAATGAACGTAATTTTCCATAAAACTCACTGGCACATACTCACTCTAATCTACACACCATATGTTTTTTAAACTGTCTACAATAACGGGAACATGCGCTCTCATGAGTTGTGGCTGATGCAAAAAAAAAAGACGCGACATACATACATGAGTTGTGGCTGATGCTTAGGCAAATCATGTGTGGTACTAAGAACTTGCATGAATAAAAACAGTATCTGCTATCATGGCGATAAAGGTGAAGTATCAGGTGCAGAAGAACTGGATGGGTGACCCATGTGTTCCAAAGACTATGGCTTGGGAAAGATTGACGTGCAATTATGAGATCAAAACCCCTCACAGGATCAAAGCCATGTAAGTATTTTAGATTTGAGCATGATACTTCAATTCATTTCAACATGAAAATGTCGAATGGATGATCATGTAAAAACTCGATAATGATACTTATCTGGCGGAGTTTTGTTTTCTGTAGAGATTTGTCCTTCGCCGGTTTCAGTGGCGATATATAATATTCTTTCATAAATCTCATGGCTCTCCAGTACTTGTAAGTTTGTTTTTCCGCATTGTTTTCAATACTGATTATAGTTCCTTTTTTGCATTAAAAATTGGTGGAAGCTAATCTTGGTCCACATTTTTCAGGAATCTGTCAAACAACAAATTGACAGGATCAATTCCAGATGCCCTTTCACAATTACCTTCATTGACGGTTGTGTAAGTCCTGCAACTTCTGACAAATAAATTTTCACCCAAGACACTAATTGAACTCCTGCAAATATCCTTTTTGTTTAGAGATTTGTCGGGAAATCAGCTCAGTGGTTCAATTCCCTTTGGACTCCTCAAAAGAGTTCAAGATGGCTCCCTCAATCTTAGGTCAGCTTCCATGTTCTTCTAGTTCCATCACACATAGTACTAGATAAATTTGATGGAACGTTTTCATTTCATATTTTTGATAGATATGACAACAATCCAAACATTTGCACAACTGACAATTCATGCCAGTCCGCACCTAAAAGGAACAACAAGCTGGCTATCTATATTGCTGTCCCTTTAGTTGTGGTTGTGGTGATGGTATCATTGGCTGTACTTCTGTTTTTCTTGGTAAGACAAAGTCAACAAGGTGAGCCATCAACATACGCGCGCATAACAATTATTTAGTCCATGAACCTAATGATGATGTCATTTGCCAACTATATGTCACTAAATGGTGGCCGTGGGGACAGTTCATTGCAACTTGAGAACCGGCGGTTCACCTACAAACAACTTGATACGATAACAAGGGGATTCAAGCGGATTCTTGGTCGGGGAGGTTTCGGGATTGTCTATCATGGATTCCTGGAAGATGATACTCAGGTAGCAGTGAAATTGCGGTCTCGTACTTCTAAGCAAAATGTCAGCGTGTTCCTCGCAGAGGTAAATCTCTTTGACTGCAGTTTTTTCTTTTAGAAAAGGAAGATGACCCCCGGCCTCTGCATCTGGGAGATGCATGCGGCCATTTTATTGATTATTCTCGAGGACCTTATAAAGTAGTACAACAATATGTCTGAATCCGCCATCTTGGCAACCTATGCCGCTACTCCTATCCATATGATGAAGGGGTGCAAGCTGAGCCATATACCCAGTCCTCTCACCTAAGCCTAACATCTAAAGCTGGAAACCCTGACCGAGCCACATACCGGGTCTGGGGCACAATCCAGTCCGACGCACTCAGATGTGTCGTCGTCACCGTCTTCCACTTGTCCATCTTCAGAGCAGATTGAGGTACCAACCTTGGCAGGTTCCTCCGCCATCGACACCACCATGACGCCAAATGACGACCACCACCTATGCCAGTCCATCTCCAAGCCGAAGGAGCACTACCACAAGATGAAGACCGGCGGTAGAATAGATGAAACATTGCACACATTGCCGCCGCCAAACACCTCACACGCACCGCAAAGCGCCCACCGTGCTTCCGGGAACCCGAGGCGACGCCTTCAAGAAGGAGCACGACGAGGGTACGACGCCGTCGCCCACAAGGGGAACTAGAGCTTTCGCCCAAAAGGAGAGCACAGTGAAAGAGGGAGAGGACCTCGACAAGGCCTCCAAGAAGGGAACCGACGCCCAGCAAAGGCGCCGCCATTGTCGTGGCCTCCGTCGACGGCCAAGGGTTTCCCCCGGTCCCGCCCCCATCCCATCCAATCGGCCAAAGACCTGGCCAGAGGAGCACACACAGCCGAAGAAGGCGTTCGACTTCATCGAAGCAGGCACGCCGGGTGACGGGGCACCCCGACCCACTGTAGTAGACGTCCACCGAGACCTCGCCGCCCGCACGGCCGAAGTCGCGGACCACCAGCACCCACGGCCGTCGCCCGCAGAGGCAACGCCATCCACACCACCCAAGGCCGCTGCCCCGGCATCCACCCACCGGACACATCCCGCCGAACCATGAAGAAAGATCCGGGCGGGCAGGACGAGGCAGGGCCACGCCGGCTAGATCCGGGCGGATCCGGCGAACCCCGGCTCACCAGCCGCCAGATCGGAGGAGCGCCCCGATCCAGGGCCGAGCCGGCCTGATCTGATGGGCGGCACCGAAGCCCCCGCACCGGATCGGGAGGGGGCAAACGCCGCAGAGAGACGGTAGGAAGCGGGCGGCGGCGTCTTCTGATGCGGGGAGGGGGGTCTCCAGAGGCCGAGGCGGGCGTGCGGGGAAGCCCCGCCACCGCCTACCGCCCTGCGGGCAAGCCCGACGACGGCTGCCGGCGGCGGAGGAGGAGGAGGGGCGTCGGGGAACCGGCGGGCGACTAGGGTTCCGCCCCCGAGTCGCCCGAGAGCGGACAGCGCGGGGGGAACGGGATGATGTTACACGCAATTGGTGACGTTTTTTTTAATGTGCACGAATCTTACACGTTATTGTATTAAGACATTCAAGAGTTTAAGTCAAGCACAAAGCTAACCAGTAGCGCCCCCTAGCGCACCTACAACAAAAGGACAAAACATTTTTTTCAACGTGGATCTTGTGAGACATGAACCTTTTGTGCAGGCTCAGATTTTGACACAGACTCATCATAAGAATCTTGTCTCTATGATTGGTTATTGTAAGGATGGAAAGGACATGGCACTTGTATACGAGTACATGTCAGAAGGAACACTACAAGAGCATATTACAGGTATATGTACATATCGCAAATCGTTAGCTGTGTGGCTTCAAACTGGTACCAAAAAAGTGATTTATGGCTACAGTATGACCTAGCATTTCAAAGTGCAAACTGAAGAAATGTTCAGAATTAATCCATAGAATCACCTGCAAAATAAAATCCATAGAATCATCGCTACGGCCTGGTATTCTAAAATTCGAAATGCCCATCTATCTGCAGGAAGAGACGACAATGGAGAAGGTTTACTGGACTGGAGAAAGAGGCTTCAAATTGCACTTGAATCCGCCAAAGGTAATACTAGCCTCGAATACAACACCCCATTTGTTTCTATATGTTTGTGTTTCCAAAAATTTAAGAGAGGATGATCTGTGTGAAGAAGCGGAGAACGTCGTACCTCTCTCGAGGCGACGGTTTCGTGTTAATATAGGTAGGGGCATATCCCTGATAAGCATACAGGTTTGTTGAGATTACATCTTGAGGTGCAAGGAAAGTAGAGATAAGATAAAGATGAAAAAGGTTACAATCATATACTCTAACAAACCTAGACCGAGACTTATCCCAACCTAACCGGTGCGTGGAGCGCCCCTTGGACCCGACCATCATGTTGTTTAACACCCTCCCATAATCACAACTTGGACAAGTTGAGATTGCGCTTAAATTCTTCAAAACTTCTGTAGACAAAGCTTTAATTAAGCCATCTGCAACTTGATCTTGAGATCGAGTGAACTGAATGTCCAGCTTCTTTTCTGCAACTCTTTCTCTGAAAAAATGAAAATCTATTTCGATATGTTTTGTTCTTGCCTGAAATATTGGATTAGCAGAAAGATAAGTGGCGCTCAGGTTGTCACACCATAAGCATGGAGCTTCTTTACAGTATATCCCAAGCTCTTTCAGTAATGACTGAACCCAGATAATTTATGCAGTAGCATTTGCTAATGCTTTGTATTCTGCTTCTGTGTTGGATCTAGACACAGTAGCTTGTTTCTTAGCACACCATGAGATTAAATTTGGACCAAAGAATACTGCAAAATCACCTGTTGAGCGCCTGTCATCAAGGCAACATGCCCAATCAGAATCAGAAAAGGCACTAACAAGTGTTGATGGTGACTTAGTGAAGGTGAGTCCAACACTGAAAGTGTTCTTGACATATCTAAGTATGCGTTTTGCAGCTGTCAGATGTACTATAGTGGGTGCATGAAGGATCTGGCGTACTTTGTTCACGGCAAAGGAAATATCAGGCCGAGTCAGAGTTAAATATTGCAGTGCACCAACCATACTTCTATACCTGGTGCTGTCCTCTTGATCCAAGAGTTTTCCTTCTGTTAAGGATAATTTTCCAGAGCTGGATAGAGGTGTTGGTGCTGGCTTGCAACCTTGCAACCCTGCTCTTGCTACAAGATCAGTTGCATACCTCTCTTGGGATAGGTTAAGCTCATCTCCATTCCTTTTTACCTCAATGCCAAGAAAGTAGTGCAAGTCTCCTAGATCCTTAAGAGCAAACTCAGAGTTCAAATCCTTGAGCAGTGCTGAAATAGCTTCATCAGATGAGCTTGTGACAATAATATCATCAACACATATGAGTACAAATATAGAGATATTTGACCTGTTGAAAATAGACAATGAGGTGTCAGGCTTAGAAGAAGCAAACCCAAGTTCTTGAAGCTTTGAACTCAACCGAGAATACCATGCTCTAGGAGCTTGCTTTAGTCCATACAAAGCCTTGTCAAGCTTGCATATGTGGAGGGGGTTTTGTCTGTTTTCAAACCCAGGAGGTTGTTTCATGAACACTTCCTCTTCCAGAACACCATGAAGAAACGCGTTCTGTACATCTAGCTTGCGTAGACTCCATCCTCTGGATATGGCAATAGACAAAACAGGACGAATAGTAGCAGCCTTTACGAGAGGACTAAAGGTATCCTCATAGTCTAAACCGTACATTTGCTGGAAACCTTTTGCAACTAGTCTAGCCTTATAATGGTCTATGGTGCCATCAGATTTACTTTTAATTTTGAAGACCCATTTACAATCTATGACACTTTTACCTTTACCTTGACGTGCTGGAACTAAGTGCCAGGTTTTATTTTTGTGAAGCGCCATGTACTCATCTTCCATAGCCTTCTGCCACTTTGGATCGCCTAGGGCTTCTGCAACAGTGTGTGGTATATCTGGTTCATGTGAGACACAAGCAAGTCCAAACTTTGCTAAAGATTTGTAATTTTTGGGTTGAGTTACTCCCCTCTGAAGCCTAGTGCGAGGTGGCGAAGAAGCATCCACAGAAGATCCGGCGGCAGAAGCAGCCGCAAGCCTGCTGGGTGAGGACGCGCAGTTCAGATCTCCTGTGGCCGGCGCGTGTGACGCAGAAGGGGAAAGTGCCGCAGAAGATCCCGAGCCCACATTGGTGGCAGGCTCATGATTGGCCAATGATGGAGCCGGCGGGACAGGATCTGCGGCGGGATCCGCATGAGAGTATGCGCCCTCATCCCGTCGTGGCATGCGCCGCGCGTAGCAGCGTGTGTCGGCGCCGAACCGACCAGGCGCGGACGGATGGAGATGGCGTCGCGTGGCGCTAGCGGGTTGGCGCGGGGCGGTCACCAGGCGGTCCACCGAGCCGCAGATGTCGTGAGGCAGCACGGGGCTCGTGGCGGATCGGCCTGACGCGGCTGATGTTGATTCCGCGAGGGACAGCACGGCAGACTGGCGCAGGTTGGATCGCGAGGAGGATGCGCTTGGATCCCGAGGCGTATCTGCCCCGATGCTGCTGTTGTTTTGTCCGGGAAGCATAAAATGACGATTTTGGCTGATTTCGTCACCATTTTCTGCACAGTTTTTTTCCGTTGCATCACAAGACTCAAGGCCATCATTAGTAAGAGGATTAGTCAAAAATTGATCATCAGTGTGTAAAGCATCCCCATTGTCACGACCGGTGAGGTGTGAAGGTAGAAGAAGAATCTCCTTTTGAAGAAGGGCTCCGGCGTTTGGGTGAAGCTGTGGAAAAGGAAAAATAGTTTCATCGAACACAATGTCACGAGAGATATAGACACGTCCAGTGGATACATCAAGACACTTCACACCCTTATGTTGTGGACTGTAACCCAAGAAAACACATTGTTTTGATCGGAACATGAGTTTGCGGTTGTTGTATGGCCGAAGATTTGGCCAACACACACCCAAACACTCGTAATGATGTGTAGTCTGGTTTTGTGTGAAGGAGACGTTCTACTGGAGATTCATTGTTGATGACCCTACTAGGCAACATGTTTATGAGGTGGACTGCGGTGAGAAAGGCCTCATCCCAGAATTTCAAAGGCATGGAGGCTGCAGCGAGCAAGGCCAGGCCGACTTCAACTATATGCCTGTGTTTGCGCTCGGCTGATCCGTTTTGCTGGTGAGCATGAGGGCATGACACGTGGTGTGATATGCCAATTTGTTGAAAGAAGGATTTGAGATTTCGGTACTCCCCTCCCCAATCAGATTGGAGAGCTAAGATTTTGCAATCGAACTTTCTTTCTACTAGTGCTTGAAAGTTGTGGAAAACTTGAAACACATCAGATTTATTTTTGATGAGATAGATCTAGGTGTACTTGCTATAGTCATCGATAAAACTTACGTAATAGGTGTGTCTACCAACTGAATTAGGGGCAGGACCCCAAACATCGGAAAATATGAGCTCAAGAGGTTTAGTGGAAATGTTTGTAGACACAGGGTAAGGTAATTGCTGACTCTTAGCACACTGACGTCGTGAATCACAAACTGTTTCACGATCACGCTCACCAACAAACGGGAGCTTATTCTTTTCAAGCAAATGTTCGACTAAAGAAAAAGATGCATGTCCTAATCTATCATGCCACCGTGTTGAAGAGACTTTGGTGACACCATAGGCTTGTTTATTCAATCTCCTAAGCTCCGGAATCAACGGGTAAAGCTCTCGAACGCATCTACCTCGATACAGAATTATCTTCGTGTCCTGATCCTTGATCAAAAAGAAAAACGGATGAAATTCAAGGAATACATGGTTGTCAATGGCAATGCGATGAACTGAAAGAAGATTTTTTGAAGTACTAGGAACATGCAAAAAAATTCTTAGACAGATATTTCTATGGGGAGTTTTAAGCACTGGATGACCAACGTGGCTAATGCTCATACCTTCTCCGTTGGCAGTGTGAACTTGGTCTTGCCCGCGGTACTTCTCACGATCTGTCACCTTTTCTAGCTCGCTGGTGATGTGGTCAGTTGCGCCACTGTCCACATACCAGTTCATGTCGATGCCGTAGGAGACGTCAGCAGCGCCTGCAACCTTCTCATCTTGTGATGACTCGCCGTCGTCTTCATAGCGATACCAGCAATCGCGTGCGGTGTGGCCTAGCTTCATAGCGATATAAGCATACAGATTTGTTGAGATTACATCTTGAGGTGCAAGGAAAGTAGAGATAAGATAGAGATGAAAAAGATTACAATCATATACTCTAACAAACCTAGACCGAGACTTATCTCAACCTAACCGATGCGTGGAGCGCCCCTTGGACCTGACCATCATGTTGTTTAACAATCTGTTGATGTTGCGATGTGTAGGGTTTGAGTAATTACACACCGGCTGCAGCCCGTCCCTCATCCACATGGATGTGAAACCCACAAACATCCTCCTAAATGCGGTTCTCGAGGCCAAGATTGCCGACTTCGGCATGTCCAAGGCCTTTAAGCGCGACAAGGACACCCATGTATCCACAAACACACTTGTTGGCACCTACGGATACGTTGATCCAAAGTACCTGGCAACAATGCAGCCAACAACGAAGAGTGACATGTAAAGTTTCGGTGTCGTGCTACTGGAATTAGTCACCGGGAGACCAGCTATACTGCCAGTGTGTCCGACGCCCATCAGCATCATTCATTGGGTGAGGTCCCAACTAGCAGAGGGCAACATTGAGAGCGTGGTGGATGCGTGCATGCATGGTTGTTATGATGTGAACAGTGTGTGGAAGGTGGCAAACATCGCTCTAGAGTGCACCACACATGTGTCGATAGAGCAGCCCACCATCAGCGACGTGGTGGTGCAGCTGCAAGAGTGCCTCAATCTCGAGGATTGCTACGCGACTGGTCACATGAATGGCGCATTGAACACTGGCAGCGCCAGCCATGACCCAAACTTGAATTATGAGTCTCAGGACAGTGTTGCATCAGAGATGGAGCATGTATCTAGAAGGATGGCAACAAGGACCACCGATCCTGTTGCACGTTGAAGACTTGTTTGTCCGGTTGAAAGAAGTCACAGTTATCCTTTTGTGTCGTTGAAGGGAACTTTGTGTGCTTTAATATGTCCTTATTTACCACCACGCAAATGGAAAACGTTCAGATATTTGAACCAAGTATGATGTGTTTTTGCAAGGGTTTGTGCTACTTAATATATGGCCTTTGGCCTTTTCGCGAAAAAGTATGCCCATCTCTTAATTATTTTGAAATACATGGGTATCTATGACTACGTACTCTTCCCTAGGTCTCTCTATTGACTTCTGTTTCCATGGTATGGAACTGGGAACTCTGTACTCTTCATCCAAAAATTGATTTTCAGTGTGCTAATGTTTGTATTCACTTGAAATTGGGAATTTGCCTCCTGAGACCTGCTTCATTTGCTTCCATTCATTTTTCCAACATTATAACTGTATGTACATTTTCACTGAGGAAATACATGGTCGTCTTCACAAAAATTTGCAAACGGAAAACAAAAATAAAAATATATTTTCTAAAGCCCCTTTATTGGGGCACTGGATTTTCTTTGTTACACCAAACAACCGCAGTTGTCTTCACCAAAATTTGCAAATGGCTAGAACACACAAACCTATCACTATAAAAATATTGATTTTTATTTTTGTTTAATATTATTTTAGATTCCAGTATTCATGCGAGAACATATTAGCTTGAGCTCATGTACTACGAATTTCCGTCCAATATATGGACCGCTTCTTTTGAGATTAACCTTATTGGAAAACGAGGTGGCGGTCAATGTCCACGTAGGAGGAGGCGAGCTACGGTGGTCGAGGTCCACATGGGAGGAAGCGAACTATAATGGTCAAGGCCCACATGGGAGGAAGTGAGCTAGTGGTCATGTTGGACAATAGGAGACGGGGCCCGAGGTCGAGCAATGTGGTAGTGAGGTGGGGTGGATGGGTTCAACAAAGTCAAACTGCTCGCGTTAATGCTCTATGGACTATAGGAGGCAGACACCATGGTCGAGGGCAAGGCCATGGTGGGAAGAGAGAAGGAGAGGAGAGGCAGTGTCAGACGGATGTGGGAGGCAATGGCTAGGGTGGGCTAGATGAAAGGCCACACGGATAAAATCCTAGGTACTTATTGCACGGAGAGAGAGAGAGAGAGAGAAGGTGACAAAGAATCATTGTGTTACTTTCCGACTATGCATGCACTATACACATGATATTTCTCAACCTCCAAGAGCAACAAGATCCACCAAGGAAAGAAGGAGAATCAACTTTTTCTTTGGTGGAAGTATAGATCAGGCACTTCTTTTTCACTCCTCAAAAGAGCAACAATTTCAGTGGAGGGGAACGGCGTTCGCAAAGAAAATTGAGCTATAATCAATGAAGGAGAGCGAATGGAGTCATCACCTTTTTTGTATGGAGCAAAATCACATGGTAACACTCCATGTTATTATAATTGATTACATACAATATTATCTTAATTCATAGCAAACAAGTTTGGATCGATTCAATAATATCGTTCTTCCAACATCATAATCTCAATGTTGTTTTAGGGCTACCGTTACACTCGACGATATCCTAAGATCCAAAAAACATGAGCACCAACAACACTTGACTTAGTCTTAGAGGCGAGACTAGAAACCTTTATTTTATCTATTTATTATTCACACATGCATATGAGTTTTCACTAAATCGCATATTCCAGGATTATACGTAATAGTTATAGCATGAAATATAAATTCTTAATTATGAATATAAAAATATAATAATACAATATTATTGCCTCTAGGACATATTTTTGACAACCTCCAATCCAATATGAGAAGGCCTCAGTCATCCTCACCATCGGCCGCGACCTCAGCCTCTCGCGGCGTGAGCGCTGAGTTTTGATGTCCCGAGCAGTCCATCGACCGGCCTCCTGAAGAGAGGCCTCTTGCACGCGGCATTTCTCCAACAGGACCACGACATCCAAACTACGGCCGAGAGCACTCTCCAAGCACTGCTGGAGTTCGCCCCCCTTGGTTCGACCTTGTTGCAATTGTGCACGTGGGCCCTGGATTATAGCCCGGTTCCTGTCCAGCACATCGCCAACGACCTGCAGCAGGGCCTGGCAGGACCACGCTTCGGCAAGCTTGGCATCGCCGTCGTCTCACGCGTGATTCCCCGCCCTCCGGTCGGCGTCAAGCCGCACTTGCATTTTCTGCAAGCGGTCAACCGCTACCCCAAAACCGCTACCCCATCTAGACTACAATTTCCTAACGATACAAACGAAGAGGACTTAGGGCATGTAAAATGGTTTTATCTTTGCAGTACCATGTAGGATAAATATTCAGATGGAGAAAAGAGAAACTAGAGAAAAAGCTTTGCCTTCTCTTATTTAAAAGATGATTCCTTAATACCAGGCAGCAAGCCCGGTAAGCTATCTCAAAAAAAAAAGATGATCTCTTAGCAACAAATCTTTCACTATATTTTTAAGAATAACTAGTTACTATAGATAAAATTAAGAGACAATCCATTGTATATCATATTTTTCTGTCATCTTTAGATTACATGGCTGGATTAAGATAAGATTGTCTTATCAATCATTGTACATGCCCTTACAGACAGCGTCTGCAAGCGATGGGGCCGCGTCGCTTATGAACCCGTCGTTTTCTGCCGCTTCTGCTCCCTCCATATGCCCCCACTCGTCAGCGTCATCCTCACCGACCTTGGCCACGAGCGTGTCCCCTCCACGACCCTACTCTCCGCTTCATCAAGGCGAACTTGCATCACGCCGCCGCCGCCGCCGCTGCATATGGCGATTTCTACTTCAAGGCCACCCCGAGATTAAAACTGCTGATGGTGGCTTCCTCCTCCTCTCCTGCGGCCTTGCATGCCGTCTACAACCCTCTCGAGTGGACTGCCATCTTCTTCCAGCTACCTGACCACTGGCACACCGGCTAGCATGCCATTGTTGCCGATGAGGTCGAGGCCTCGTTCTAGGTCATCAGCATAGATCGCTGGGTTGAAGAAACCTTTGTCGTTTTCTCCTCCCGCACTGGCAAATGGGTCGTGCTTGACTCGTTGTTCCCATCAGTGGCATAGATAGGACCCAGGCTACAAGGGCCATGGCCCAGGTCATAACGCTTGATTTCTTTGTTAACTGCAGCATTTTTGGCAATATTTAACACTGTAGAACGTGTTCCGGAACTGGCCCGGGGCTTCGCCCGACCTTGGCTACGCCATTGGTTCCCATACTGCGTGGCCTCACAGTGACGGTATGGCCGTGGGACAGCTCGTGTACTGGCGGTCAAACACCATGAATTCGAAGATCTGGAACGAGAATGAAGAGAAAATATATGTGCTTGACACGAAAACCATGGTGTGGTCGGTTATAGCCAGACAGTTGCCAGCTGGCGAGTCGTACTTTGTGGCGGAGCACGGCGGGCTGTGAATCATACTGTGTGGTAGTTTCGTAACTATCGAAGCAATGAAGTGATTTTGCCACGACAGGTGTTGAAACATTTTTTTTCAAATATATCTTTGGCTGTGATATGTTTTTTTTAGAATGAAGACGCCGGGGGTGTCCAGCTTTAAATTAATAAAGCCCACGTAAGGCAGGATCCAACAAATTCAACATAGAACAACTTAAACTAAAACGGCCGCAGCCAAGGTGCGATACATGCTACCGGCCGAAGCCTGCAAGGGAATGAGAAACGAAGCAACAGCGTGCAAGAGGCCAGTCCAAAAGGTCAGAACCAACGGCAAGCTAGTGGTTGGCACCAATCTGGATCAACCGAATCCGTTCCATAGCCTCCGTCATCCGATCCGCATCACGCCGTTTCCCCAACGGTGTCCATGTCTGAAGAAATAAGTGGCATTTGAAAATAATGTCAGCCGGGTGTGATGCAAATTTGTGCTCAATAGTCATCTTATTGCGAGTGGTCCAAATGGACCAAAGCAAAGCTCCCACACATCTCCATAAGACACGACTGAAACCGCCCCTATGAGCGACTAGCATAGCGTGCAGATCCAAAGCAGAGCGGGGATTCCAGTTCTAACCGAACGCCTCCCTAACCGCACTCCAAGCAAAGCGAGCGAGGTAACAGTTGAAAAAGATGTGGTTGGCATCTTCGTGGTGACCACATAGAGCGCAAGAGCCGTCGGAGGGCCCATTCCTACGAGTGATATTATTGGAGGAGGGAAGGCGATCGTGAAACATCTGCCACAAGAAAATTTTGATCTTCAAGCGAATGGATGCTTTCCATAGCCCCCTAGCTATGTCCAGGGTCGGTCCCTCAGTGAGTTTGTTGTACACGATTGGACAGTAAACTTCCCTGAGCACGAGAGAGCACAGGAAACCGAGTCGGCCTCAGGGCGAAGGATCACTC